GAACTCAAATTGAAACAAGAAAAACAAAGATGACCAACATGTACTTTTTAAAAAAAAAAATCATTGATTATAAACCACCTATCATTTATCAACATACATCATATTAGAAGAAAAAAGAGATACCATAGAACTTGATTTTTGAGGGCATTAAAATGCTTTTACTGTTTATTTAAAAAAATTATGATAAATAGTTAATAAAATCTTTATTTTTTTTCTATCAAGAAGGTTATTTTCGCTGTTAAAACTTTAATTATATTCTCAAATATAATTATCAAATATTATATACATATTTGTTTTATACATAAATTTCAAAATTTGTATAAGATATATATTTAAAATCAATTAATTACAATTAACTATATTTTAAAAGAAAAAAACTAAATCATAACCATGAAAATTTGCTCATAAGCAACCGCACTTTTCATTTCTCTAAAGTGCTTAATGCCACTTTTCATTCCATTTGATCCATGCGTGTTCACTTTGAACTGTGCCTTGAACAAGTTTGAACTGTGGGACTTTTTGTATGAAGATGCTCTGGAAAAAGTTTCTCACGTCTTGTTAAAGCTTCATGGAAAGTTAAAACTGTGGTCCATCATTTTTGCGGTTGTTGTGTTGGACAGGCTACGAAGTGGAATCGTGCTGGCAAAATTATTTGCCTTTTAAATTCAAGTCCACATCACAAAAAAAAACTAAATTAGAAGGTAAATTTATTGCGGCTAAGGACACATTTTTCTCTGCGGCATAGTATAACTAACTTTTTGTTATTCTAAAAAAAATCAAATATCTTAATCTTAAGATATTTTAATATTTTTATATGATCTATTAATTATTAAAAAATTAATTAAAAATATAAGATTTTTTTTCAATTTTTTAAATATGATAAAATAACCTAATCACCCTTTATATCAAAGTTTTTTTAAAATTAGTATATAGGTATTTATATTTTTTTATCTTTTCATTCTAATTTTTTTTATTATTATATTCGTATGGGTAACTTGATCTTTTAATTGAAAAAACTGCTAACATACGGGGGTATCTATTCATTATGGGAGGCTTGTGCAGTGCTCCTTAGTGATAAAAAAATATTTTATTGTCATGTCTTAAAAGCTCTATCATATTTTATTTTTTTAATACAATATATGTTAGTAGTGATAAAGTAGTTTATAACCAATGAAGCTTTCATTCCTTTTCATTTTTCATTTTTTTCCTTTTTCTAAAAAATTAAAGGTTAATCCTTTTTTATGTTAATAATTCAACTTCAGTTTTTATTTTTTTGATTTTTTAATTTTTATTCTTGATCCTTTTATAAAAGTTTTATTTGTTTTTAATTTCATCATTTAATTTTAATTTGTCATATATTAATTTTTTCAATTTGATTCTTTTTTTTATTTCTAATTATTTTCATTGATTTTTTTGTAAGACTTTTGGTTTTCGATTTCATTCTTCAATCCAAATTTATAGTATATAATTTTTTTTCAATTTGATCCTTTTTCTTTTAAATTTTGTTATTCTTTTATTAAATTTATTTTTCTTTTTAATTTCACCATTCAATTTTTTCTTGGCATTTTTGTAAATTTTTTATTGATTTGCAATTTTATCATTCAATCTAAATTTATAGTACATTATTTTTTCCAATTTGATTTTCATTCTTTTGAGTTTTTTTTGTCCTTTTGTTAAAGTTATTTTTCTTTTCAATTTCACCCTTTAATTAAGAATTTGTAATTTCCCTTTAATTTTTTTTATTTTGATTTTTATACCCGTTCTTTTAATTACTTTTTTTTTATCCTTTTGTGTGATTATTTTTTTTCTTCACAATTTCATTATTCAACATTTAATTTATAAGGGGTTAGGCTTTATATTTTCTCATGTATAGCGTTTCTCATCTAATGACTCGGATCATGTGTTTGAAAAGTTAACAAGGGTCGACATCTTTTTTTGATTTATTTTTTTTAGTTTTATTATTTGATATTTATTTATTTTTAAATAGCTTTATGGTTTTTGATACGATCAAAAGATTGATATCTTCTTTCAAGTGCAGGAATGTCAAAGTAATAAATAATTCGGCAAAATCGGTGTCGAACTATAAGGAGGTTAACTATATAAATTATAAATAATAATAATAATAATAATAATAATGACTTTGAGATGTAAGATTAATGTGAAGATCAAACAATGATAAAAATAGTTGTCAATGTTAGAGGATCCAATATAGTATTTCAAATAAATATAATATAATTTTTTTATTACTCAATTGAAAACCACACATAAATGAAGTTGTAATTGGATGATTTGTCATTAATAGCTCATTATAAATTATTAACATGATCATATTAATTATCTTATTTAAGTGACACCAAACTTTTAAATATTGTCAGGAATTTATGATGCTAATAACAAATCAAATTTCTTTCATAACACATGTGTAAGTAATATCATATGATTGGCTATGAAAGGATCAAGTATTTATTATACCAAGTGTTATACAATATAAATATAGATTAATCATTTAACAAGTAAGGTATTAATAATTAATAAGATAAAAATAATAAGACATGTTAATAGCAAGTTGTTTAAGATATAAGTATTAAAGTCCATATTGAGTTTATATTATACTTATCTTAACACCACTAGTGAAACATTTTCACCTTAATATAATAAATTTAGCTAAATATAATGAAGAAGAGAAACATAAATAAACAAGAAGAGAACATGATTATATAAGTATAGTATAGGAAATGAAAGTCATAAACAAAAGATTAATGAAAACAAAATTTAAACATTACAAAAATATATATAAAAAAATAGCAATAACATAATCCTGATTTGAAAACTAAAATACCTAAATGCATGATAAATGCCTTCATTTATATGCCAAAATTTAAAACTATTGATTTGATTACTAATTATTGAGTAAGTGGTCACCTTTTGACTTAGTAACAATTTTTATTTTCTTGTTTGTCAAAAAGTAATTGCTAACATAAAAATTTGAACAGATAGTCTCATGAAAGTTCTGAAAAATTATCTCAACTTTCCAATAAAAAAAGAAATGGTGCATTTGGATATTTAGAACTTGAGATATGGGTTAAACACTAAACAGTGCTAGGACTGCATGACAGATTCAGACTTCTCTTTTGATGTTAAGATTTGGACTTCTAAATCGAAAAATTGAGCCTTGAACTCTATGAATGTTTTAAGTCCATGTTTTAGCTTTTAAGCTATATCAACCAAACTAAAATTCAAGATATACAGCTTTAAATATGACTCAATGACTGAACAATGTTTTAGTTTGAATTGAATCAACATTTCTTTTCTAAGTTTAATTTTTTTTTTATCCTTTCACTTTCAATAGTTAATCACATAAATTAATCATTTGAATTGTGAAATATGTCAATATTTAAAATAATATTATCAAATATGTTATTATAAAACATATTTAAGTTAGGGAATTTAATAATACTTTAAGTACAAAATATTATTTTAATATATTTATAAATAAAAAATACTTTGAAAAGCAACCATAACCACACTTCTAAATAGGCATAGCTATTTTATTATTTTTAATAAAAAACATTTGTAAATTAGATAAAAATTTTAATAATCAGTAATAGTGAATGATTTTAGAGGTGATAATATCTAATATCTCTTTCTTTTAGGGGGGAAAAGTTTGAGATTCAATTGATAATAAGGTAATATATTAAGACCAAATCGAGGTTTCTAATTTATTTTTTTAGCAAATAATGAGCCTTAAAATCACAATATTTTTGATATAAGATGGGATTAGCAAAGACTGAGATCATTGTCTTTGAACATGTTGTTAATTAGTTGATTTTTTTTCATTATTATTAATATAGTTTTTACCATGTTCATTAATATTGAAGTTCCACGATAGGTGAAGTTGAGGTGCCATCCTGAAAGAAATATCACATATTATAACAGCTAAATTAAAATCATATTTTCTTTCATTTTTAATTTATAACAATAAAAAAAATTAAAAATATCAAAACATGAAAACTCAATTTTCCCCTTTCGATTAAGGGTTTTTAATTTTTTTAATTGGTTTTGAATATCAAAGACAAAAAGTAACAAATAAATTTTTTTAAAAACTATATTATACAAAAAATGAAAAGAAAGTGAAACAAGTCTTGGTTCATTAGAAACAAATAAATATATACAAAATTGAACTTTTAAAAAAAATTTATTTGAGGGTATAATTACGATTGTTTTTTAAATAATTTTTTATATTAAAATACATGTAAATAATATTTTTTATTTTTTAAAAATTATTTTTTATATTAGCATATCAAAATAATTTAAAAACACTAAAAATATATTAATTTAAAATAAATAAAATTTTTTTTTTAATTTTTTTAAAAATACTCTTAAAATACAAAAAAAAATACAAAAACAATAGATAATGAAACCACTTCATTGGAGATAATTATTGTAGGTTGCAGATTTTGTTGATTTTCTTGCCATAATCTTATAACTCCAACAGGCTAAATAATATAACTTTTTTAACAACTCTGATTTAAAAGTTTTTTCATAGGATGTTTAGAAGTATGGTAATTTTTTTTAAAATTATTTTTGACATAAATACTTTAAAATTATTTAAAAATATTAAAAAATTAAAAAAAATAAATTTTACCAACCCCTGTTGACATCGCAATCCCAGCCATAACTTTAAACTCCCGCACCACAAATTGTTCCCGCTGGCCATGCTTCATCCATCAAAATCATCAAACCCTAAACACGACATGACCTTGAATTCTTGTAACAAATAAAATTAACAAATTAGGTGTCGATCTATAATGTTTGAAGGTGAACGAGCATGTTATCACGGGATCTCTGTTATGATACATTAAGAGAAAATCAGCAACTTTTTAAAACATGTATCATGCCCCCACCGTCACGGTTTTACCAGTCATAAAATATACAGTAGCAGAACAACAGAGCCTAGGCCAACATTAGAAAATGGTAAGAGAACTTGCATGGCAGTAAAGGAGTAAAGGACATTTAATTGGTGCCATTGAATCATGGGGATCACTCCCTACAAATTCAATTCTTTTTCATCAAATTCAAATGCGGACAAACACGGATGTCTGCTACGAGAAGCCCACCTAGAAACGCACCATACATGCAAACAAGTGCGAAATTTAGCAGTGCAGTTTTTCCACTACAGACATAATACCTAGAGATATACTGTTTTCCTTGAAATTCAAAAGGTCATAGAACAACGGCGACCAATGGCTCCACCATCTATGTCATGATGCCTCATTTCCCAGCACCAGCACCCCCAAACAGGAAGTCCAGTGAAGATCCACCGCCAGGAGCTGCATGCACCTTTGTTGTTGGGCGGTCCTGAGCAGAGAATTTCCAGAAAATCACTTTAGAAGGAACATTGCCTTTCGTAATGATGTACAAAAACGAGAAAATTGTATGAGTTTTTTTTTTTTTTTTGACTTGCCTTTGAATATCAGCAAAAAATGCATGTATACTCACCAGTCCACCAAATATAAGATACCGAATGCCAAAAATTCTAAAGCAGGAATTGTTATCTATCAAAAAACTTCACTTTTCAGTCATAACAATCTATCAAAAAACTTCACTTTTCAGTCACATGAATCACCTACAACCACCATCACCTAAACCCATATGCTGGTGCCAAACGTAAAATAACAATTATAAACTATCAACAAGCTTTCACTTGTTATGGTGAGGATGAAGCTTCAAGAAAGAATTCAAAATTTTGAAACTGACTGGAAACAAAGGGAAACAGAGAGATCTTCAGGTATTATCTACTGCTAGATAGAGTACGAAGCCAGATGGCTTACAGGCATAAATGACAGCGTTACTGGCAGTTATAAGGCCAGTAGAGGAGGTTACTTCCCTAGTTCAATCCATGTCTTTAGGTGAGGCACTGTTAAACCTCTGGCGCCGGTCACATAAGCCTATTTCTGTTTACCAATCCCACCCACCAGCGCTTCGGAAGAAAATACAATAATGTCCATCTCATGCATAATGGTATAACTGTTATTCTGGAGTTTTAAATTGTAGGGCGAATGTGATGTGTCAATAAGCAAAGTTAAAGGCCTGAAAATGAGGAATCTTGATCTCTATGGAGCAGCAACTATGATATCGAATCCCATGGAATTCTCAAAATGGAGGAGCAATAATTTACCATGACACATGCATTCAATTTCCAACCGAGTGTTCAATTATAAAGCTTAACCAGAACACATCCCTTTGTAACGAGGATGACAGACTTGCATAACAAATGTGGTGATAAAACTAACAATCAACCTTCACAGTTAGGATAAACTGAATCACCGAGTGAATTTTTAATAATAATAATAGATCTCTTGATAATCCCAAGGTTCCTATTTCACATCCAAAATGCTAGCTAGAATGTTAAGTTAGTGTCGGAGATTTATGACTAAAAATTGTTAATTATCAACTCTAGATAAGATCCAGTTTGAGAATTTTATCAGCATACCGTGAGAAAGTTGCCACAGTTCTGCCCATCAGCACGGAAATAGTTATTAGTGGTGTTGGGTTTTGCAGGAACACCAGCTGGAATCTGCTTGCTGACCTCTGCAGGCTCATTGGCTACAGGGAGGCGGCTGCTCTGAGGAGTCTCCGCATTGGTATTAGTGGGCTTTGGAACTGGAGGAGCAGGAGCCTCTCCACCTCCAAAAAGGTATCCCAAAGAACTCTGTCCTCCGCCGCTGCTCACTCCACGTCCCATCATCTCGATCCAACTGTTATATGAGAAACCCAAGAGAGGAGATGTTCGTTAACATATCAGAAACGGAAATCTAGTCTTACTGGACTAGATTATGATGATCCCATCCCATCTTTGTATGGTTGCTAAGAGAACCTTAAATTAAAACAGTTTCTTTGGTCTTGTTTTCCAGCATTTTCTCGAGAAACAAACAGATATCAGAAAATGGCATTGGTACGGAGAGAGAGAGAGAGCGAGAGAGGACTTACCTGTCGGTGATATTTTTCTTCTTAAAAATGATCTGAGGCTGAAGTGCTCCATCTCGCTCGAGGGCCTGTAAGCATAAGCGTTGCTTTAGTTTTTTTTTTCTGCGTTTGAAAAATATTATTAAAAAAATTTAAATATTTTTTATTTTAAATTAATATTTTTTTAATATTTTTAAAGATTAATATCAAAAACTATTTTTAAAAAATAAAATAAATATTATTTCAATATATTTTTAAATAAAAATATTTTAAAAAATAATAGAAACCCACAAGCAGCTTTTAACTGACGATGCGACCCTTTTGGTCATTGGCTTTTATAAAGAAAGGCTTTTTAGTATGAATTGTGTTCTTCCATCAAGGACCAAGTTTGCTAGAAGAAGAAGAAGAAGAAGAGACGTGAGATCTAAGTGAAGGTGGATTCGAGAATTTTTAAATCGCAGATCTAGTTTATTGTACTCTGGAAACCGTGCAAATGTGTGTGTGTGTGTGTGTATATATATATATATCTGGGTAGCTTGAGGACTGGGTTATAAAGAAGAATATAAATAAGGGACTGAAGTGTAACTTGCCTATCAGCAGTAAGTCTTCTGGAGCAGAGGCCTTCCGCACACACTAACATCTTAAACGGTATCCTTGCAAAAAATAAAAATAAAAATAAAAATCGCACTAACATCTTAAACGGTATCCTTGCAAGAAATAAAAATAAAAATAAAAATAAAAATCGACAAGACTTCTCACTTTCCTTTTGATTTACTCTGTATCTTCCCTCCTCCTCCCTTCTTAAACAATTCATCACCAATTTTACAGTCTTCTTTCTAATCGCGGCAATTTCTCTCAGGTTCTCTCCCTTCTCTTCTCTTCTCTTTGATTTTATTTTATTTTCCCTTGAAAGTAACTGTTATCTGTTTCATTTGATTTTTCTATTGCTTTGATAAAGCTCTTGTATCTCTCTGTTTTTGTTTTTTTGGAAAGTAAGATAGGAGAGAAAATTAGGTTTCCTTTTTTTAGATTCAGTTTAAAAATTGGTTCATGTTAGTGTTAACAATAAGCTTATTAACAACTTGCAATTACCTGTAAATATTGGCTGCATTTTTTAAATTAATCAATGTTTTCATTTTCCAAATTTGGAAAATTAAAAAGAAAAGGATAAAAACAAGCTCACTTTCTCAGATAATGTCATTTTTTTTATTGGTTAGTGTTTTTGGATCATATTGTTTTGTTTACTTGTTAGTTTTATTGATTCATGGAATCCTGAATGATAACCATAACAGTTCTTAAGCCGAGATTGTTGTTCCAAGGTAAAATAAATAAATAAATAAATAAAAAATTAACACAAGGTTTTAAATTCGACCGATTTCTTTTGTTCTTTGTGAAATGCACTAAAATTTGTGGTAGGATGAGATAATCCGAGTATGGCGCTCGATCATGATTCTGCTGAGGGAGATCATTTGGTGAATGTAGAGAGAGATGAATGCTTAGAGGATACAATCAACAACAATGCTTCTGAAGCAGTTTTCTCCGAGCAAGAGGGGGCGCTTCCGATTAAGAACATTGCTTTGCATTCGGTTCTCACAAAGGCCATATTGAAATATTCAAGAAAGAAGAGGAAGAGGGCTAAGAAAACTCCATCCTTACCTAAAGATACATCAATCGTAAATAATACTTTTCATTCAGTTCTCACAAAGCGCAAATGTAATGTACTACTGAAATATTCAAGAAATAGGAGAAAGAAAAGTTCATCCTTTGTATATCACAGGAAGATGATAGAGTCACATGATTCCTCACAACATTGTGTGGAACCCATGGTGGTGGCAGGTCAGACTTCATTGGATCAGTCAAATGAAGTTCGCTCCTTCCATGTCATGGAAAATAACGTAGAAAGAGAACAAGTTGTTGAGCATGCTGCACCAGTGCAGGTTGCGGAAAATGTTTTGGTTGAGATGTCCTCTGACTGTTCACCGGTTGACTTTGCATGTGAGGAAAGTAAGATCACTGTGATAAGGAACAGTGTTGACGTGGAAGCTTCTCTCAAGGAGGTGAAGATTCCACAAGCCTGTGCACTGGAACGACCTCACATTGGACGTGTCACTAAAAAGCTCCTTATCCTTGATGTTAATGGACTTCTAGCTGATATTGTTTCATATGTTTCTGCTGGATATCAGGCTAACATAGTAGTCTCTGGGAAGTCAGGTGAATATTGCTGTGTAAAACGTCATTGTATAGCTAGAATTTTCAAATGTTCTCCTTTCTCCTTTCTCATTTAATTGTTAAATTCTAATTTCATCTCCACTTGTCTCTTTTCAGTTTTCAAAAGGCCCTTCTGTGATGATTTTCTGAGGTTTTGCTTTGAGAAATTTGATGTTGGTGTTTGGTCATCAAGAACCAAGTATTGTTCTTAGTTCATACCTGTGATGGTCTTACACTCCATTTTTTAAAGTTTTTTCGTATTATTTAACATCAACATCATTGCTCTCTATATCTGTTTGCAAATTCGTGTTTGTTTTGGTGGCCCTCATTGTATCTTAACTGTATTCTCGTTAATTGCAGGAGAAATGTGAACCCGCTGATTGATTTTCTCTTTGGTGATTCAAGGCATAAGTTGCTTTTCTGTTGGGTAAGTATGCCTTTCAAATTTAATGTTCTCTTCTTTTGTGCATGTCAATAACTAAGGGAGCTCTGGGTTACATCCCATTCACTGTATTTTGGTGGGCATGAATGGAACAGAACATAAGGGTGTTTGATGGACAACTTTCCATCCTTTTGAGCAGGTAATTGGACTCAATGTTACTGGTTCATATGGGGAGTTTTTCCTAGTGAAAGTAGTGCCGAAGAGTTTGCTCACTGTCTCTTTTGTTACTTCTGTTCTTTGCTGGATTAGATAACTTTTTTTCCTGCTTGTAACATCAATAACAAATTTTGTAAATTTTACGAGCATGGCTTTGCACTGAAAAAGTTATCTTGGCACTGGCAGCAATGCCTGATTTGAGCATTGGTTGCTGATTTGATCATTTTAAGTATAACCAGTTCTTTTTTGGAATTACATCTAGGTGTTTTTGGCAGGATCACAACTCAATTTGATTGCTATAGAATAATTTTTTTCCTTTCAACAATGCTATTCTTATTGGACGGATAGTTTTCTCTGAATGTCCTAAGAAATTTACTGTCAAACCTCTAATAGTTTAGGTGTCAAAACTATCTACTGATACATGGTACCTGAATTTCTGTTATCTATGTATTTTGCTTGAAGTTTAAAGAACTTCTGAAGTGCTTTGGTTAATTGCTTCAAGATCTCTTAGGATTTTGTAAAAAATTCAATTCAGGCGACTTTATTGGTGTGGTGTTGTTGAAAGATGCAGCCACTTGAAGATCACATCTCTTGGCTGTTGTGTTATTGCTGCTGTAGCTTTTCTTTATCGTTTGTTTTTTAGCTTAACAATGTTTAACTTATGATGATTGTTTTCATGCAGGATCAATCTCACTGCACTGATACAGGATTCACCACAGTCGAGAATAGGAGCAAACCCCTGTTTTTGAAGGAACTAAAAAAAATATGGGAATATCTTGAATCTACTCTTCAATTGAATAAAGGAGAATATGATGAATCAAATACATTATTGTTGGATGATTCACCATACAAGGCTCTATGCAATCCAGTAAGTTTTATGGTTCTCTCTAATTTCTCTCCTTGTGGGTGTGTGGTTTTGCTCTGGGTGACATCTTGACACCATTCTTTATCTAATTTTATGTCAATGTTTTGTTGTTTAGGTGCACACGGCTATATTTCCTCATTCATATGGGTACAGGGACATAGCAGATTCTTCATTAGGTAAGACACTTGAAATTTAGATGGAGGCTTCTCTCTTTTGGAAAATTTAGGGTATACAGGAAGCCACTTTGTTATAAACATCTGCATGCTCTTGCCCAGGTATGATAGGCCAAAGTTTGAGCCTATGAATGAACACTGAGCAATCAATATACCTCGCTAGTTTGCATTACCCATATTTATATTCAGGGTTTCAAATCCCATGTTTTCTCCTCTATAACCAAGCAGATCTGTATCTTTCGTTCAGGAGATGCATTAAATTTAGGCGCCTCCTCTCTTTTGGATCTTGTTTTGAGTTAGCACCTCCTAATCTTTGTTGTGATTATCCCTCTGAGAGGCCTATTTTATCTGAAGAAAATATGAGACTAATGCAGTAATGTTCCTTTACTGATCATGTTTTCTAATGCTTGTTTCTCCACATGGTTCTGAACAGGACCAGAAGGTGATCTTCGGGTATATCTGGAGCGATTAGCTGAGGCTGAAAACGTCCAAGAATATGTTGCACAGCATCCATTTGGTCAACGAGCTATAACAGAATCGGATCCATCCTGGGGTTTTTATAGCAGGATTGCAAGTGCCGACTCATGTCAATCCCAGAATGTTGCCAGCACCTCTGTCACTTGTCAGCCATGACCACGAAGAAATGCTTCCCATGATGATTTTTGACCCAGAATATCTCTTTTTTTGTTTGATAACCATATGCAGATGAAGCCTCAGGTTGGCTTCAGCCTTGAGACGAACAGGGACGCTTCAATGTATTTTCAAGAACATAATTTTGTACCTTAATGTGCAAGTTAGGGCTGACTGGTCAAAGTACTATACTTTTTGTACCTTAATGTGCAATCAGTTAGGGCTGACTGGTCAAAGTACTATACTATGTGTGTATTAATCCACGCTAAGCCTGATGGTGATGTTTTTCCAACAAGCCAGGTCTGTGATGAATAAAAAGAAAGTAAAATCCTTGCCCTTCAGAGCACTGGTATTGATGGCGGAGGTGGAGATCTCGCGTGGCCTCCTCGTGACCTGACGTCACGCCTAGGAGTGGAGTCACCAGCTAAGATAATAATTCCCGTCCCATGTGGTGGATGACCTCTTTTAGAGGGCGGTCAGTGGTTATGGTCGTCTGCATATATTGGGCCCACCAGTACTTAATGCTGGTCCACAACTTCTGAAAAGCAACTTAAGTAAGGAAGGTCGTTGAGCTAACCAAATCACTAGAGAAAATGGCTGGTCACTCATCCATTTTGCGTGTGCAATAGATGTGGTTTGATTGATTCCACATGACCTGGCAATGGCAATTCATTTGGATGGTTTTCAGGAGGCCGCTTCGTCTCTTCATCGAGGATTAAATTCCTAGAAGTAATCTCTCCTTGTTTTCCGAAGGTGGCAATTCATTTGGATGGTTGTTTAGGAGGCCGCTGCGTCTCTTCATCCAGGATTAAATTCCGAGAAGTAATCTCTCCTTGTTTTCCGAAGGAAGAGATGAAGAACATATAGTTTAATTGTAATCCAGAAGCATCAATGGACACTCAGCGATCAATATATCTCTCTATAAGAACACATCTTCAAATTTATAAATGAATACGAAGAAGACGATGGTGCAGCGAAACCCATTATAAAGCCTCCATAAAAAATTAGAAAGCCTTCACCAATAATTAAAAAGAAATGAAATCTCGCTTCCATTAGCACTTCTATAAAACAAAACTAAAGGTAATATTGATTGATAAAGGTAATATATTGACTTAGCCAGGATTATTCAAAGATGTATAGGAATCAATTAAGAGTTATGGCCTTATATTTACAAAGTTAAAAGCTGAATGCAATTCAGCTATAATAAAGCAAGAGTACATTAAACTCATTTTAACATGAATATAGTGCGACATAAGGAAGCATTTTATAAGAACTAAAAATATAGATTTCTATACTATTATAGATGAAGCTACTTATTATGAGAAGATGTTAGAACATAAGCATAGGAGAAACTACTTATAGGAATATACTTAGTTGGTTATTCAAATAATGTTGTGAACACACATTTCCTAATATAATTAGATAAGAAATTTTAAGAAGTCTAACAATAACTCATACGATTAAGATCTTAAAATTAAAAAAGCTGAGAGAAGCTACCAAACCTAGTAGCAAACTAAAAAAGACCATTAAAGTTGTTAAAGAAAAAAAAAATTTTATAAACCAGTTTTTCACCTAAGTTTCAAACATTTTCTAAATAACAAATTTCAAAAAATATGTTTTCAATGCATTTCATCCATTCACTCTTTTTTTTTATAATGAATTTTGACTATTTCTCTCATGTATTTTCTTGAAAAAAAATAAAAACATTTTTGATGCATTTACACCCATTTGTTATTTTCAATGTCTTTTTCAAAAATTAAAATTCATAAATACACTTTCAATACATTTTGGCCATTAACATGTCCATTTCATTATTCTTGCTTAATTTTTTTATCGACTTGATATTAGTGATGGTTTTTTAAATAAAATAAAAAGAATGAGAATTAAAAATTAAAATAGAAAGCAAAATAAATTAAGAGATAAAATGCAAAACAAGAAAAAAAAAAAAGAACCAAAGTGAAATTAAGTCACTTGGGACCAAATAACTAGAAAGAAAGTAACAAGATTTATAGTTATAAGTAGATGAGTGAATTGTTGAGAAAATATAAGAGTCATTGTGCAAAATACCTAACCTTATCTCTTTCTAACATTAGAGAGAGAGAGACAAAGCATTATTTATAATCTTTTACCTCAACACTTTCCTAAAAACCTAACCAAGAGCCCTAACCTTTATAGGAATGAATCCCTATAACTTTGTTTTGAGATAATATGAATTGAAATATTGAGAAATAAGCTCTAGAAAACACTATTTATCTTCTCTTACCTTTTTTCTATAAAAATTATATCCTTATCTTTCTCCTTGTTAAATTGAAACTTATTTCATTGATTTCTCACCTTTAACCTTCATTTCTAAGGAGACCACCACCATTCTCTTTGTATCGAAAACATATATAAGACCACTCTATCAATTAAAGACAACAACCCTAGCATCATTGTCAATTGAGGAGAGAGAGAAAATAACCTTCTAAAACTTCTCTTTAATTTCTCTCTCTTTCAACCTCCAAATAAAATGAGATCACCATCATTATTCTTCCTTTGATGATAACTACTTAACCATATAACCTAATAGCCTCAGTGTGTGTAGATATAAAAGTTACAAAATTAACCAATAGAGAGAGAAAAGACCATCACTTTTAACGCTTTTGATATTTCTCCACTAGTGGTGGTGAATGAAATTATCAATACTAGAAGGAAGACCATGGTGCAGCACTCTAAGCAGAGCTATCCACCCACTAATTAGATGTTGGTCACACGAGCAATGTTGTGCAAATCATCATAATCCTTTCAAGCACGTGTTAGAAATGCATCCCCACTATTGTACAAAGCTATCCACCCACTAATTAGATGTTGGTGACACGTGCAATGTTGTGCAAATCATCATAATCCTTCCAAGCATGTGTTAGAAATGCATCCCCACTATTGTACCACTGCCACCACTATTCCAACAACTTTTGACCCTCTTCAGCCACCTCGATAAAGTCTATTTCAAGCTCTAAATATATTATAAATAATTATCTTATTTTATTATTGGTTTTGATTTTTTTATGATGAGGTTTTTTGGATTGAATAATTTTTATTAGATTGATATTTGTATTTGAATGATGTTGGCCAAGTTTCTTAATATTACATCTTGTTTTATTGGTGATTTTTATATTGGACATAAAAAATATGATATTCCTTCATCACCAAAAATTCTACACATGACAAGATAATGAACTTCATTCTCTAACTTTCTAATGCCAAATTAGAGAATAAAGTTCATATAATATCAAATTTTTTTTTTCAAATCAAGGTAATGATCACAACTATCCATGACAAGTACCAACCAGCTAGTCATGGATGATCATGAAATAATATTTTTTTATTAGCCTTTAAACCTTTCTAATATTGATATGATAGTCATCTAAAGTAAGATGAAAAATATTAAAAACACAACTTACCACCATAATGTTATGGAAGTTAATAGAATCATCCACGCCATATCTAATTAGTTAAATGAGATACAAAATTAACTATAACAAATGAGGTTTAAAATTTTATGGGCATATGCATCTAAGGAGAAAATCTCATGAAATTCTACAACAACAAGTACTCTAGCACGAGAGTTTAAAACTACTATGATTCATGTAGTAGGACATATGTCAACATATCAGAAACGACAATAAAAACCTAACTTAGGCATGATAGAGCTCCAGATACATAAATTTCCCTGCAGACATATTAGAAACCATATGCCAATCATATGGCCCCAAAACACATATTATCCTACACGACAACCCTTTAATAGGGAGTTTGATACCCCTATAAGCTATTTTATAGTAAAGAAACCTCAATCCACTAGCACAACAAGTCCATATTATCGATCAACAAGCAAGGGAAAGGGTATATATGGTTGAATTAACTTACTACATAAGCAAGATAAAGTTAAAAATTGGATGAACAATAAAACCTATATATAATCATTCATATTCCAAATGGTTTGACAAATTGCTCTTAATTCCTAAAGGAATAAAGATTGCAAATTTTAAATAATTCTCTAGGAAAGACATCTAATCAATGAGAGAACACATCTTTAAATTCATAAATATATATGATGATGGTGCAAAAAAACCCTTTATAAAGCCAAGGTTATTTGGTTTTGTTATTGAACAAAATAGTTTTTCTCTAGTTGTCAACACCGCCACCTAACTCCATCAATAATTAGAAACAAATGGAGACTCGCTTCCATAAGCATTTCTAAAAAAACAATTAAAGGTAACATTGGCTAACTTAGCTAGGATTGTCCAAGATATAGGAGAGTCAATTAAGAAAGTATTTGTTTACATGATAGCTTTCATGTTCAGATTAAACTATAATTCTTAGGTGTTTGGTTAGCTACAAACCACACTTTTTAATTATTGGGATCCATAATAACCTATGTTCCAATCAGAGGTTACGCAAAAGCAACTCAAACTTGCTTTTGGTTAGCTGAACACAAAACTTTGGCATTGCAGTTCAAAAATAACCTTGTTTCAGTTTTCTCCTCTCATCGTTCTTTTTTTGCTCTTTCTATTGTTCTTCCCTCTCATTCCAATCTCTCATGTACCTCACACACTCATGTTTTTTATAGTCGATTAGTGATCCAAAAACCTTTGGGAATGTACTATTGTTTGTTAATAGATCATTTGAGCTAAAAAAAAACTATCTATTTCCAATCTAAATCCCTATCCTAAACTTAAACCATACATCAGATTTGCTGCCTTTTTCAAGCCTTTTCACAATTATGGTGCTTCTTTGTAACCCAAAAATGGTTGAAGACATGCTAAAATTATTAGGATTTTCAAGATAATTTTCTTGAGAATTTATTTTAAAAACTTTATGAAACTCAACTTCCTAATATCTACAATAATCATACCTTTCTTCTTCTTTTTTTTCTAATTTGTTTTATTATGTTTTGATTTAGGAACCAAAGATTTAACATCTTTGTCTCTTAGAAAGAACAATAAATTCCTGATCTGTGTTGAGTTACACTCAATACTATAAGACGTTAAAATTGATGATAATGTTCAAGGTAATGTTCTTGAGAAAATATTTCATCTTTATATAACTTAAATTTCTAATATCTACAATTATCATTCTCATTTTCTTTCTATTATAATTCTTTAGCATTTTATTTTCTGTTAGGAACTAAAAAGGGCTTAAAAATCTGTCTCCTAGAAAGCACAATAAATACTCGATCTCTATTTGGGTATACCCTACCCTACCAGACTTAATATCTTTGTTTTTTAAGTCATATATTTTAATGTTTAGATCTAACCGGGAACAATTGAAGCCATATCCTTATATATTTCTTAATGCA